ATAATTTTCAAGCATAGGAGGGCTTATGTTACGTAATGGAAAGTCCAAAATTCAAGTATGACTATTAGTTTGAATTAAGAGCAATATAGATTACAACATATTAGCAAAAAATCAATCATAGCAAAAAAGCGTAGGTGCCCAATATTAAATGCTAGAGTCATTTATTTGGTTGCTATTTGCAAAATTGGATGCATTATGAAAATACAGTTGGTTGCATCGCCTCTTTTTCATTATAAACGATCTTTTTTGTTAATATCTTAATTTCTATATTGATCTTATTTTAAATTAATTAGTCAGGCCTTATTTCTGGAATTTCTATTGCAGTACACAAACTCTCTTATACCTGATAATATTTGTCTACTTTTTAGCTCAATTTGGTACTAAAGGGTGCTTTTTAACTATAATTAATTTTATAAATTTTCAGTCTCAAAACGAAAACACGAGTACTTATAATCGGGAATTTTGATTTTTGGTATATTTTTTCAAATTTCGCAACTTCCAAAATCTTTTAAACTTTTTTATTTTACAAGTTGTTGATCCAAAGTTTTTTCCAATTTTCAAAATTAAAATTTTTCAAAGTATAAAACTTTAAATTTATATTTTTTTTCAAGACGTTTATGTTGTCATCGGCCATTGACATCTGTGTTGCAAGCTAATCGGACTTTTTAAAAGTGTTGAAAATTAGAGTGAAGGATTCCGTTACTTGCACACATGCAGGTCAACCTAATAAAAACGTGTCAAATAAGCCAAAAAGATGCAGCATTATACAGCGTCCCAAGGGCTACGATTGTACACGTACCCATTTTACAAGACAATTAACATACTAGTATACGAGTATACAGGGTGTTCCATAATTATTGCGACAAAATGATAGGGGTTGTAGAGGGCATCAAAATGAACAATTTTTCCTTATAAACCCCTGTTCGAAAATATGCCGTTTGGGCTGCAGCAAAAAAAAAGATCAGTTTCTTGAAACAGCTTACCTACAGTAATTGCTCAAAGTATCCTCCACCTTGCTCAATACACAGCTGTGCACGATTGTTCAATGATCGGCGAACTCTGTGGCATACCCCCGGTATGTCCTGAACATGTGCGGACGCGGCCATCACTCTTCCCAGTAGCTCTTGTTGGTTGGGAACAGGAGTTTCGTACACTAAAGCTTTCAGATAGCTCCAGATAAAATAATCCAGTGTGGTCAGGTCAAGTGACCGCGCAGGCCAAGGCACAGGGCCACCTCGGCCTATCCACCTATTTGGAAATTTGTCGTCCAAATACTGCCGCACTTGTAAAGAAAAGTGGGCTGGACCGCCATGGTGTTGAAACCACATGTTGGCTCTTATATTCAGTGGCACATTTTGTAATAGTTCCGGTAGCACATGCTGTAAGGATCGACCATAAGCATGCCCATCCAAACGTGGTGGAAGCAGATATGGCCCGATGATATGCTCGTCCACAATGCCGCACCAGATGTTAATTGAAAACTGATGTTGGTCTCTATGGATGGCTATGGCATGAGGGTTTTCTTTATCCCAAATGTGACTGTTATGGCTATTAAAATAACCGTCCTTTGTAAAACAGGACTCGTCAGTGAACAAAACGTAGCGACCAAAGTTTGGTTGCCTCAACTCCTGCTGCAGCCACCAACGGCAAAAACGTTGACGCGGCAGATAGTCTCCTGGACCCATGGCTTGGACTTTTAAAAGGTGGTACGGGTGTACGATAACAAAAATGTAAACACAGCAGGCTTTTTTTACAAACCGGTGAGACCATGAAATGTGCTAGACGAACATTTTGCAGCTGGTGAATTTTTTGTTTCTCCTATGAGCTCTTAAGGTAAAATTAACTGTAGTGCTCAAACGGCATATTTACGAACAGGGGTTTATAAGGCAAAATTGCATATTTATATGCCCTCTACAACCCCTATCATTTTGTCGCAATAATTATGGAACACCCTGTATATACACTGCATCCTGTATCACATTTCTGCCTTGCGTTATCTCAATTTCGCTAGCTTCGTCGCACAGGCTCGGTTCTTTATGACCATAAAAATTATTCAAATCCGTCTCGTTCGCCAGACTCAAAGTACCAGGGTGCAAGAACTAGCAGCATATAAAATTTTGTGAGGCTAGTAACAATGGAGCGGTCATAACTACAGGTTAAAAAACATAACACGCTCTTTCTACCTGCCAGCAAATAGGCAATTTTTTCCTGCAATTTTGGAGGCAGTAAATCTTTTGCTGATGTCGTTAGATCATTACTTCCTGATCATAAGTTGAGATTGACATCACGATAGGGCGGGAGCATTTGCCGCCATTTGGTCGAAAACAATCGACACTGTATTAAAAAGTAATAGAATTAATTTTGTAGGGAACATTTTTTTCTATGGAAGTCGTATCGTACGATAAATTTAAGGGTACATATATTTTCGCTTAAAGAATAATATTTTCTATAAAGATGGTTCTACGTTTTTTCGACACCTTGACGGGTCTTTAAGTATAGGGTGGATCGTGTAAGCATTCAACATGTTCTCACACGGGAATATTTCAGTCTGTATATTGGCTGTGTGACTGTTTTGATACGAATTTTCAACATTCCCTCCTCCAAGAACCATCAAGGTATGGAAAAAACGAAAACATCCGTTTTTGTATCAAACTTTGTTCCATATAAAAAATAATGGTTTGTATACTCTTAAAGTCGAAGGTTAGGCATGATAAGCATAAATATTATTACGTGTGCATTCATCCTCAGTTTCTCGTAATCTGTTGACCATACGACAAATTTTTAGTGAAGGAATTTAGTAAAGAATTTCATTCCATACAAAATTGCTTCAATTAGTGTTTTACATAGGATCGACTATTTCCAATATTTTCGTTTGTCAAAATGGCAGGAACTGCTAACGCCTTATCCTGACGCGAATTAGAAAACATGATTAGGAAGCAATAATCTATAATCATCAAACATTGTAGGATTTCCTTATACAAAATCTCCCAATCTAGATTTTGAACGGCTGTGCTAGGAAAAATTAAGAACAAGGGCTTTTTGTGGCCGTGACCTCTTAATCAAATAGTTTCTTAATGTATCAATATTTGCCATCAAGTAATAGAAATCTGAAGGAGGTGTGAGTCAATGTGAATTGTTCACTGTTCATCGCCGTGTGTGTGACTTGGTGTGTAGGGGCCTCTACATTATCGCTGTTGGCTTTTCGATTCCATATTCGGACTAACTTGAAGGTAAAATACTGTAGATAATTGTTTAAACCATGAGCATTTATGAGCATACTGCGCTGTCTATGATGCACTAACCTTTTTAAAGTAGACTTCTAATTATTGTGGAGAGGATAAACTGTTGTGAGAAATTCCCTTAGATGACGCCAGGATATCTCATTTCACCTCGGATAATTTTTTGGATGCCGAAATTCAGTACACGGATGGCTATCTTCAAGAAGAATACGTTGACGGATGTTGAAACGTATACATTACTTGATCAATTTTCTTTGCAGGTCACCGTGCTGTTCAAGATATGGAACGTGGTAGCCTATCAGGTAAGTGTACCATTTTATTACAGACACGAGCTGAAATTCAGAATTGCTATAAAGGCAAAGTTTATTATCAAAGGCTATTACTTCCATGTTAACATGCATACGGTATATTACTTAATAAAAAGTACCTTTTATCTATATATCGTTTTACATTATTATTTGCTATCGAGCAGCTGTTACCAATTTTCTCCATATACAAAAAATGGGCGATTATGCATTTTCTATAGAAAATTATAATGACGGAAATATTAACATGAATTTAAAAATTACCGGAAATGATTGAAAATATTATTTGAGAAAGCTACACGTACAAAATGTAAACGATTTTATAAGGAATAATCATGCACATGAGAATAATAACAAGTTCCTTCAGTGTTACGAGATTACAGAGATCAGTTATTTTGAAGGCGTCGACTGATTTAAGCGTCAGCAAAAATAGAACGCGTATATTTACGATCTCGTTACAACGTATTCTACGAACTGACCTATGAGGTCAACTGCATTAACATATTTGTATATAATTCTAAATGAATTGGTTATGTTTGATCCAATAAGAGTATTTTTAGAAGAGCGAATCAAATAATGAAATACAATATACTGGCAACTGTTGCCGTCAAATTACAGTAGTCGTCTAGACCCTAGTCTAAGCACCTAAGAAAAGGAAATCTACAATATTTGCATGTCACTTATTTTATATTATTTATTAACGGGCTCATCGAATTACATGGATCGTATTGGCTTAGTACCTCTTCAAAAGCAATTATCCACACATAATGCTTAATTCCCTTGAGCATGATCCTGTAAAAGCTCAAAACATAAGCTGTGAGGGTTGATCTAGCAATAAGGTTCCCAAATAGCTCCAGCCACATTGGAAGGTTGAAGGCGTAATCCGACATTGTTGCACGTGTCTCGATGTCTCGATTCCCCTGCCCGTTCATCGCTGCGCCGCTCATTCTTGGCTCAGCTGCCGGTCAAAGTGGAGCATGCCATTTTTGAAAATAATGGCGACAAGTGGTTGTCCGCAGGGAGCTTTTTGCTGGTCGGAAGGAAGCCTATGATGAAAAACTAAGTGGATGACAATCAGTCTCGGAGGCGGTTGTTGATATGGCCTAGCGCGAGATCAAAACTTGACAACTGACCATGAATATCCGCGGGTGCAGACCCTCTGGCGTGCACAAAGCAAATTTCGCGATCAAAAATGGTAACCTCTGTATTGGATGGCTGCTGAGCCAAGAGTGAGAGGCGCAGCGAAGCGCACCCAGGGGTATCGACAGTGGAGCAGTTATGCGCTGTTCAGTGTTTTTGGATTTCGCGTCATAGGTTGAACAAATATAACTTGCATTGTTGCGGCTTTTTTCGACGAATAGCGGGCACGAAATGCCATCAAGAGGAAGAGAATCACCCAACCACGAAATGAGTAAATTGGTGTTTTAATATCAAAAAACGTATATTACAAAATAGTCAACAAAAAAAATATCAACAATAAAGACAACTTAGCACGATGGAGGTAAAAACAAACTTCGCTGTATCAGTCTTGCCAAATTGTTGCACCACCTTAGTGCTTACTGTGATGGTACACCACTTTGTACACTGGTACTTTCACTGGTACCGGCCTGGGGATCCTGATGGGGATGTGCTTCTCTACTGGTACTGGAACTGGTTTTTCTACGTGGTAAGGTACTTCTTTCTCCACCTTGTAAGGCACCGGCTTTTCTACTGGGATCGTGATGGTTTTGATGACGGGTACTGCTACAGGCTGCGGTACCTTTAGTAAGTCAAATAAGAGTTAGAAGAAGTGACAAGGAGTGGTCTTAGGATCGGCTGGTAGTCAAACTTGATGGGTTACGTTCCCATCTTGTTGCCAAGGAGAGCTCTTACAGTATGAATTAGGCAAGCAGTGAAAGTAAAGCGATCTGTTTGATTACGAATGTGATTCAAAAGAAACGAAAATGGAGCATCTCCTTAGCAATATCGAACTTCATACGATATGATACTGCTGATGCATTACAAGTGCATTCAGAACATTTCCCTTTCCTGTACATTTTCATCGTGCACCAGATAGGTTTGTCTATAACCTATAAAAAGCTAGAGATACGGGGGTTTGCACGAAGGTCAAGGTGAACAAGTGAAAATAGTAGAAGACCTAACAACCCTGAATGTTGTAAATTTCGAAAAAGATTTGACACCTATATTTCTGAATCGAACGATGTCAAGTTCGAAGTATAAAGAATTTTTGTTTTTCATCTATGCCGACTAGATTACCAAGCTGGTTAGTTCTTCTTCATTCTGAAATTTAGGAGTGCATGGATAAAAGAGTTTCAAATAGATCAACGGTCAGATTACCTTAATATGGACTGGGTACGGCTGAGGCACAGGTACTGCTACAGGCTTAGGTACTGGAACAGGTATTGTGTGTGGTATGGGTACTGCTTCATGCTTGTAGACTGGTATGGGTACGTGTTTGGTGATTTCCACAGTGTGTGAAATGTCGTGATGTCCACCTTCTCCGCCTCCGTGATCACCGTAACTGCCTGAGAAACCAGCATTTACGGACGCTAGGACTAGCAAGAACAATACATAACCCTAGAAAGAAAATAGTACCATAAATACTTAGCACTGCTAAGTTTAAGTGCCGTATCGTTAGTCGTTCCTACAATTGTAGGACGCATTTATGGCCTCATTGAGGAGTCCCTTTTTTCATTGGAAATGGTTGTAAATTCTATTTTTTAAGCCGAAGAAGCCACGTAGTCAGAAACCTACATACCCCGGTTGCTATGGGGAGCTCAAGTAAACTTCGTTTATCCTATTCTTCAATTGCCTAAAGTTGTTAGAACTGAGAAAAGTCTCCTCAGCCAGGTTGGTCCACAATCGCGATACCCTAGGGACAAGGCAGTGGTCGTACCGGCCAGTTCTGGATGTCCGAAGCTTGACAAGGTTAGGATGGAAGGACCAATAGAGCTAGCATGAGTAATGTAGTCGATGCGGCACATCCCAAACATGTGAGATGTATTTGAGGCTAAAACTTATCGGGGCCTTGTACAGAGGAGGGAGTTTTTTTTTTTTTGGAGAAAAATACTTTTTAACCCTGAGGATATAACCCAGCTTTCTTCTAGAAGCTATCGCTGTTGACGAGATGTATCTGTACCAAGTTCACGGTGATGGAGCTACTTGTTAGTCAAGGTGCAGTACGTGTTTTATAAGCGTTAAACTGTACCCGTTTTTTGTGGCCCTGGGCAGTGGCAAACTCCAGGACTCTCGTCAGAGAAGAACTCTCTTCTAGTCTACCTTGCTCCAGCTCACCGGCAGGAATCGTCTTAACACTGTATTCGTGCATGTAGCTTCCGCTATTCATTTTCTCGTAAATGTCTCAGAAGCTGGGAAATATTCGTCATCAATACACACTAATGAACCAGCACTCTCGTTTATACAGAGCAGCTTGTTCGTTTGTATAGAAAGCTTAACAGCGAATTTTATTTTTAAAGGCGCTTATTCCGAACAGCTGCCTCCATTTTCAAGGGAAGTGTACATAAGAAACCTTCTAAATTGTTAAACTGCATCGGAAGCGTATATATTGCCCTATAGAGTCAACACTTGAAGCAATTGAGCTTCCGGAACTCGCTAGCGATATTTCTAATCGAAATCCACTTTACTGGAAGACTGGGGCTTCAGTTCTGCAGCATTTGAGTTCAGTTTTATTGGGGACTGTTTAGTTCACACTATCAAAGTTTGTCGTGTGAGTAGAGTATTCTTTACCTTGAAGAAATTACATTTTAATATATTTAATAGATTGTTTACATCTATTACTTCCCACAACAGTCTAAATTTTTTTCAAAATGAAATATGGTAACTCTTGAAACTTGTCATTTGGTTTTCTGAACAATGGAATCCTTGCCGCTGGCAAGGAAGTATTTTAATCGCGAAAAACATGAGATATACCTTCCTCCATACTCTGCTTCCCATAACCTCCAGTTTTTAACCCCTTAAAATTTTTATCCGAAAATAATCAGGAGCCTATGAAACGTCAAAAGACAAGGTTTGAGCAATTTTAACTTTTTTCGTTTTTTGCTTCTCGCTTCGCTTACACTAGACTAATTTTTAGAAGCGACACAAATTTTGCGTGCTTGGCGTAGTAGTAACCTTATGTGAAAAAATTATCTTAATCCGGGCGGTATTTTCCAAGTTATAGACAGACCATGAATTAGCTGACAAGCCGACAGACAGACAAAGAGGCAGATAGTCAGACAGACAATCGATCGTAATGTGCATGTACATCGCAAAGACATAATATCTCAATATCGAAATTCGTCATTACAATTCTTTCTTGCCAGTGGGGGCAAGTAAAAAATCAAAAAATATTCAAGTAGAGTTATAAATTCAGAAATAACGATGTCGGCCATCTCTATCTTAGTTGCTTTGCAGACGCAAGACTGACGGAAGAAGAAGGAGTTTGGCTGTTCAGTGACGCTACAATTCTGTTTCTGTATACTGTAAACAGGGATCGCACTGTATATATACAAATGCCCCAGTGTAATTACGCCGATAATCGTCAATAACCAGTGCACCATAAATAAATCAGAAACTCGATCGCAATGCCGTTAATGACCGTTAACTAGCTGAACCTGCCTCGATGGGATCGCCAACGGTAGTTTATGAAACAATAAAATCTAACTTAGTCCGGGACCGCATGCACGACAAAATGCCCATCATAGCTAACGGGTGCTTATTCTTCGATGTATGTATGTACGCAACTTTGAGCGTTCGGAGAAGAGGACAAAGTAACTAAATCAGCCATTTAAACAACATCTAAGACTACCACATAATACCTGTTCTTTGTAAAAGCAAGTCACGTAACTTACTTATACATTTCCTACTATTGCGTATTGCATTACTATTTACTAGCCATGTCTGGATGCTGTATCGAAAAATAGATTACAAAGGTTTCAAAATAGCTGTTGCAGATTTATCTACAATCTTAAAAACATGATTCAGCGTCGGGAAAAATAATTGAGCTAAAATGGTTGAGCATAGACGATATGTATAGATACTCAGTTGCTACTATGATACATAAAATAATAACTTCGTAGTCTCCCCCTTACTTATATAGGAAATTAATGTTTCGCGGAAGAAATGATGACATCAATTTCAGATTCAAAATACGACTTGAAGTTCTATTATACAATACGACGCTATTCCGTCGGTCATTTATATGTAATTCAAATAAAATATATAATGACTTAACTGATAACCTCAAAGCGCTTTCTATAGCTAACTTTAAGAGGAGTATGAAAAAGAGGTTACATGGTTAGGACTGCTGCCTCGGATGACGGTGGGAATTTTTGGTTTTACCTTGATCTTTCTTTTACTCGTTCTTTTTTTTGATTCAGTGTGGGATTCATTATGTTGATTGTTGCGTTGTTAATTAAAGCCATGTACAGTTTTGGTTATCTATAATCGCTCTAATGTTGCACTCTCCGAACCTTTTTTTTCATTCAATTTATTATTGTTAATCATTTTCCGAAAGGTTGAGTATAGTTGATATTTTCTAGACTCCGCCTTTTAAGGAGCATCATATAAATATATAGTGTATGTCTTAATAAAAACACATTATTATTATTATTATTATTATTATTATTATTGTTATGTTATTTTTACATGTACCACTCGATGGAGGGTACTTGAATTGATCATTCCAAAGATTATGCCTGCGTCCCTTATTGATATTTATCTGCTATATGCACCAAAATACCAATCGCTAAACTCGCTAACCACAAAAACAAGGTTACGAGTGAATATAGTTTGCCTTATCTGCCTATTATCGCTTACTTAAGCGTTCCTGTTACCCTCCAGAACCATTGCCTAATTTTTTTGATTTGTACAACTGATGAAGTCTTTTAAATAATAAATAGTCCGAGTCCTTCACGAGTCGACTACAATATATGTGCGGCTTCTATCTATACATCGCGCAGAACGTCGAAGATAAGCCAGAGACGTAGCGGTCTGCTGTCATCTGCACCATATGGGGAAACATCAAAAAAATGAGCGATCTCTTCCTCCTTTCTTTTTTTGCTCTATAGCTTCGTCGCCAATTTTGAAAAACCGCAGTACTTTTTTATCCTTAGCACAGTAGTAACCTTGTTTGGAAAATGTATCTAAACCCGAGAGGTATCTCCAAAGTTATAGACGGTCCAAGAATTAGCGGACAGACCGACAGACATACACAGAGACAGACAGATAAAGAAACAGACAAAACAGATAGACAGGCCTACAGCCGACCGAAATAGGTGACATGGTTTGTTTATGTGCATGTCGTGTCATATAACATCCAAAAAACATGTCTCATTTTCAAAATTTCTCGCGATAAGTATACCTTCCTCGTCGATGCCGTACGAAGTAAAAACGAGTTGTTCCACGAATTCAAGATGTCCTCTTAGTCGAATGGGATCCTGGACTAAGAAACAATAAAATCCATCGTTATCGAATCTATGAAGGAAAGTCAACGGTCTCGGTCTAGGCTGATAGAACGCCTGCAGCTGTGATGATGGAGAAAGTACTTTGCGATGCTTTTAATACCGCATCAGCGCTTCCATGAACGAAAGTGAGATTATTTGATCGAGATATGCGAAATGCTCCGTTTATTGCTTTTCGTTATGCTATACTGCGGACTGATACAGATTTTCAGAATAAACTCAAGGATTCCACTGTTGAACAGAAGGCTTGATCAAGACATCAGCATAAAGTTTGAAAGCTGAGGATCCACAATTCCAAATCTATACCAGAAGATGTTTTAGAAAATTCTGAGAATTCTATGGTTTACTCCACGCACCAACTAACAAGGAGTTTTTATAACCTAAAAAATATATTTAGTTAGTTATGAGAAAACCTTCCAAAGTTTTGATCTAACATGCAAGATAAAAAATCGCTTTAAAGTAAGATAACCTTGAAATAATCTGGGGGGCCTTGTAGAGCAAGGCTTTAACTAATTTAGATGTTTGGCGAGCTCGAAATTTAATAATTTTTTACCGAGTTTTTAATATTAATTAAATACACCACCCGGTAACCAAGTTCAAATTCAAGTTTCTAGATCATTCTGAGCAAAAGGTCCTGTAATAACTTTTCTACAAAGTTGGACATTTTCGAGTAGAGGCGGTTCAATATCTGAAAACCCTGAAAATTGGTATATTCAATGCTTAAAAACTCGGTTAAGAATTGTAACTGTTGAGGTCGGTTAGCATATCCCCCTTCGCTCTATAAAGCCCCAGAGAGTATTTTAATATTTCAGGACTATTTTATCTTGATGCAATTTTGAAGATCAAATTTGGCGAACATTATTACATCGCGAAAAACTTCTATACGAGTCCATCATCATTAGGCTTTTACTCATAACTTGTCTTGTGACTTTTTGTATTTGACTTTAGTCCAATATAAAACTTCTGTCTTTTTTGTATACAGAATAGGGTGTTAGTGTTGGACTTTATTTTGTATGAGTTCTCTCAGAGAAAAAAAATAGCCGAAACTCTTACTTTTGTATCATTTGTTATGTGAAACCCACATGGAGGTCAAT